AATGTGCCTTTTGAAGCTCAAGGCAGCCAGCCCCTCTTCTATTTGTTTGTTTATTTATTTGTTTGTTTGTTTCAAGGATTTATATCCCGCCTTTCTGTCCACAGTGGGATTCAAGGCGGGTGGTAGTAGTAGCTCCTGCTCCAGGTTGTAGAGCTGGGTCCATCAGAGCTCAGCTGGCTGGGTTTGACCAAATGCTGTCCTAAGGGGCCAAGAGAAAAATAAGGGTGGCAGGGTGGGGTATGTGATATAATCCACAGATCATCCCTTCCTTCTCCTTGCCTTGAGTTTGTCTTCAGAGAAGGGATTGTGCCATTCCCCTCCTTTGCAGCTGCCTTTGCAGGTAAATTCTGTGCTAAATGCTCAATGACACCTCTGTTGGATTGAGGTGAAGGGAGGTGGTCCTCTTCTAAAGAAGGGAAAGGGAAGATTTTGGGGCAGGTGGAAGAAGCAGGTAGGGGAATGGGTGACAGGATGAGGGTTTTTTTTTTTTAAAAAAGGAAAGGGTCTGGATTTGCTTTAAAGTTGTGCAGCCAAATCCTCTGCATGTTCAATTCGAAGGTGGTCCTATTGAGATCTACAGGAGGTATTCTGTGGCAAGTGGGGGCCATAGGTTTTATACTGAATGTGCAGGATTTGGCTGCACAACTTTAAAGCCAGTTCCAGCTAATAGCTCTGCTATAAAGGTCAAGGTGATATCCATTATTACGGATAAATTATTATGATGTTAGCAATTGTTTCTTTTTTCTTTTCTTTTTCTTTTTGCTTATCCTTGCCTGCTTCCACACTAATGTAGGGTGCATCTGTAGGGAGGGGGTTACAGAATGTCACTCAATTTTTGAAAGAGCTAATAGCACTATGATCATGATAAAGTTGATTTTGTGTTTGTATTTCTTGCATTGAAAAGGTAGTTTTATGACAGATGGTAAAATTACACCTCAAGTATACCTACTTTTTATTTTTATTTTTTTTAGTATGTAAAAAGGAGCCACATAAGTCCTGCTTTTCCATGTGTCAGAAAAAGCCCTGACAAGTGTTTGCTGCTTGAAGTTGCTGTCTCTTCCTGCTTATTTGATTTATTCATATTAAAGAACTAATCAGATTTGAATTAAGGGACAGCTGTTGCAATAGTTTAGCAGATTTATTAAAACAACATTACCTGAGGGCAGATTATTCCATGCATTGTTTCATGTTACAAAGCTAAATGTAGTGTATGCACAATATTATGAACATGATGCTGTGGCACCGCATTCCTCTTGCTAGTATATACAGCAGCAGGAGTGTGTGTTTCTATATCATTAGCTTAAGGACAGCACATTTTAATTATGGAAGAAAATGCCACCTGGTAGAAATTAACTTGTCTTAGGCAGATTAATTAAAGAGAATTTTTCAAAGATTATGCTGAGGTGTATTTTAAGATTAAAACAAGGAAATTAGAACACAGAATGAAGCAAAATGCTTTAAAATGCAGCTGGGCTCTTTAGTGTGTTCTATGGATTTAAACAATGCCTACAAGAAGTGTATTGATGAATTTGCTGTATATTATTCAAAAGCTTATGGTTTCATTTGTAAATTGGCTGTTGAATTTATAATGGAGTCACCTAGAACCTTTGCTTTCAATAGAAACAGACTTGAAGAGGCTGTGACCCAGCATTTTAAATCTCCAGCAGTTTCAGTGGGAGAAATTTGTGCACCTACTGAATTCTCATTGAAATAATTGTGATTGTATTTTTGTTGTGTGCCCTCAAGTTGATTCTGACTTACAGTGACACTAAAGCAAAACCTGTCATTGCTTAAGATTGTCCTGTGGATTTCCATGGCTGAGCAGGGATTTGAACCCTTGTCTCCAGAGTCATAGTCCAACACTGAAATAACTACACCAAGCTGGCTCCTAATAGTGACTTAAACATGGTTAATTTGGTTGGTTTGTTCCCAGTGTTTGCCACACTCCACATTCCATGTAGGTAATGGGTAAAAAATTCAGTTGTTGCAGCTGCTAATGCCTTTGAAATAGAGAGAGAGAGAGAGAGAGAAAGAAAGAAAGAAAGAAAGAAAGCTTGCTCATTATTACTTATGAAGGTTCTGCACAGAATGTGGAAACCCAGCTGCACTGGTGGAATACAAGATACACTACCAGATAATGTCAGTGGAATATCTCAGTTACAGCAGTGAAAGACTGCTAGTGATGGTGTGCCATCAGTGCAGATAAAACATGTTGAGGGCAAGATGGTGATGGCATAGGGAAGGGATAGACCTATGCCATAGGCTGTGTTCTTCCCTACTATGGCCACACTCTCACTGATGGTACAGTGTTCCCTGCTCTAACTCTGGACCTGGCACAACCTCCTTCCCATTGGATTCAGTGGTAAAGTGAAAATGTAAAAAATGATCTTCCTTGCATCGATTACAGTCCCACTCACACTGGCAAGAGCGAGAGGATAGGTTATTGTAGAGGGAACACTGTCATTGATTAAATGGCTTGCAATTCACTTCTGCTTAAACTAGTGGCAATTCAGCTTTTAAATCAGTTGCAAGGCCATCTGGACTGTTTGTTTAACATCACAACATATCAATTTTTCAAAGTCCATCCCCCACAGAACTTTTACTCTGTTCTGCTTCTAGTTTTTGGCATTCCACGTAACTCCCAGAGAGTTCCAAAAGAAGAAAACTGGCCCTTGGAACTACTGCAATTGCTCACGTGGTTTAAAATCATAAGCTAAAACGATATAGATCAACAGCAGCAAAATGCATTTTGCTGTAGAAAACAGATACACAATTGATTGCATAACACAACAAAGCCCTCTTCCCTGAAGTTTGTTTGTACAGTACTTGATGTATATTTTCTTTGCTGTCAAGACAAACATAGTGGAACTTGGAACCCATTTGCATCCCCCACAGCCACCAGCATCACACACTTAGCTCTCACAAGAGGAGGATCATTGTGATGAGGAACCATGAGGAAAGAGTATTTTGTACTCACAGGCAGCACTTTGCACAAATAGCTTGATTTCAGAAAAGTCCTAGGAGCTAATGCACATTGTCAGCATTTCTTTGCCTAGAGCCATAACACAGGGATGAAAAACGTTTGGCTCTCTGGATGTTTTTCATTTGATATCCTAACAGCCCCAGAAGCCATCATGGCCAAAAATGTCTAGAAATTGTAATTCAAAACATCTGGAGGACCACAGGTTCCCTGCCCTTAGCCTACGGTGCCCTTCCCCTTTGAAGTCCAAATATAGACACCCTATAGTAGCCCTTATTTAATGAGGGTGTTCATATAGAGCCTCCTACATACATAAGAAAGGCAAGTATGACTACTGTGAATGTTCCCATGTTCTTCCTTCCAGTTGCCATATATGAAGCTGAATTTTGATATTTTTCTGAGCTACATTGCTGGCAGGGACCCCAGAAGTATCTTTTAGGAGTAAGGTGGTGCTTAAGACAGATGAGCATATCATAAATTTTGCATATGGTACTTGCCAAGGCATTTTTGTACCTCATTGAAAATAGAGAATACATTGCATTAAAATAACAATTAACAATAATACAATAGTAGTATACAAACAAAAGCAGTTAACAATGTGGTAACCATGAAGAAAATGACAAATGATAAGTAAAATATTATAGAAATTAAAGCATAAAATCAATATACCAACCAAAGGGAGGCAGGATATTAAATAAATATGTAGACTCTTTTCAGTGAATACAAACAACTGCTCCCCTCCAGAAAACTGCTTCAGAGCAAAACTGTGAGACATGTTAGCATGTGCAAGACTGGAGAAAAAAACTTTCAAAAGAAAATACAAAATGTGTATATGTAACATGTTTGTGGTGTAGAGATGTAAGACCTGGAGTGAATAGTTTTAGAGTTCTGAGGATAAAAATGGTTGTGAAGAGGTCAGTCTCTCCAAACTGGTATAAGAGATCT